CATGGGCAATCAAGGAGTACTGTCAAGCTTCCACCTCCACCCAAATCCATCCTTTTGCAGCAGTCTGATTCACCTACTCAATCTGAGTAGGACAGGTTCTACCTTCTCACTTCTTTATATATATGGTGTTATGCATAGGTACTTGTTAGAAGCTCATAGCTATTTTGCTGTTTTAAACAACCTTTGCTGATTTGCTATTTTAGACATGAGATTTGCTGTTTTTCATGGCTTTGTAGGCATAAAAATTGTTTGCTGTTTTGATGTGTGGCCATGATAGATCTGCTGCTATCCTCTGTTTTGACAAACCATACTTTGCTTGTTTTTGTTGTTTGTAAGACTTACACTCTGCTGTTTTAAGAAGTTTCGATTTTAATTTATTGTTTTAAACTTTGGTATAGTGTTTGTTTTGCTGTTTGCAATAGCTAGTTGCTGTTTTGCTATTTTGCTTTATCATTTGCTGTTTTCCTTTGCTGTTTTAAAGCAACTTCTATTCTGTTTTGCAAGCAGAATCCATTAGCTCGACTTCTCTATTCTTTTATTTGCTGTTTAAACATAGTTGCTAATCTTTCTTTTGTTGTTTTTAGATAGCACTTTAGTTTCATATTACTGTTTGGGCATAACGTAATGCTATACCTATAGTCTGTCGTCCAAATTTGCTGTTTTTAGATCCAGTATCATGTTTGATTTGCTGTTTTAAGAATTTTCCATTTTAATTTGCTGTTTTGAAGTATTAGCTTTGTCACTTTTGTTTGCCACAACAGAATATATTGGCTCAACTTTTCTTTCATTTTGTTTGCTGTTTTAAATTATAGTATGGTGTCTGTTTTGCTACCTTAGGCATTTGCTTTTTTGCTGTTTTTATATAGAGCTTGTTGTTGACATAACCTTTGGATAAGTTTAAGTTCCTGACTTGCATTAGATATATCAGTTAACTGAGTTTTGATGCATAATTGTTTTGCTATTTAAAATCTGCTGTTTTTAGGTGTTTTAGGACTGGTTTGTTGTTTGATTTTGCTATTTTAGTAGTTTTTGCTGTTTTAAGTATCATGGAGTCCTAGCTATGCATTTTTTTTCTTAGTGATTTTCATTTAGGATTACTTTGCTGTTTTAATCCTCTTGTTGTGATTTGCTGTTTTTAACAAGAGTCATGCAAAGCATGCTTTGATTTATTGTTCTACTTTGCTGTGTTAAACTCATGACATGAACTTTCTTTGCTGTTTTTAATATCCATACAGTCCTTCTCTTGCATTTGCAATTATTTTCATCTCACCATTTGTTTTTGCTGTTTTAATCTTGTTTGTTTTRAACCTCTTAATTGATTGTTTTCTTTATCTCACTTGAGATGTGTTTGCTGTTTTAATGAGTTCCTAACCACTCATGTTTTGTTGTATAAAATTCTTTTAAGTATGTTTTGCTGTTTTCGGGATATCATGTAATTCCTTGCATACACTGCTCTTGCTGTTTTGGTATTGACAGGCTGCTAAATGCACAACTGGTCTGATGACTCTGAGGGAGGACCATGGTTGCTGTTCTGATTTGCTTACCTTCCTCCTCAATGCTAAATACAGTTTAGGATGTATAATGAGAGGACAATGGCACTCCCATTATCCTGTTCTATTTTGATCTTTTTCCTGGCAAAACAATGGCATTCCCATTGTTTGGTCTCATTTAGCCTATTTTATAGTACAACAATGGCAGTCCCATTGTTTGGATTCTTATGGCTATGATGTCTGATAMTACAGTCCTCTGGTTGACTGTTTTGATTCA